CTTCCGCGCGCATTGCAAGTGTATTTTGCATATGCGAAGTAATGCCGCACGTGCGAAGGCAAGGCCAGATCGGCAGCCTAAAGGCGAACGTGAAATTATTCGTCATCCCGTAAAAACACGTGACGACGAGCAACATTAATTCGCCCGGAAGCATTCGAACAAATGATCAAGAGTCGCTGCGGTAACTCAGTTTTAATGTCACCCAGAATTCAGGGCAGTGAATAAATTCACAGTCTCTCAAGAGTTGCTATTTTCTGCTTCAGGCTCCGCTGCAGCGGCGACCTCAGCAAGCTTGGAGAGAGCTCGCTTAGCCGCATTGTTCCAAATCTTGCGCTCTTCTGGTCCCAGCGTCGACCATTTTCCCGGCGTGCCGGTCGTGTCTTTCATGTAGCCCCAATACAGGCTGCGAGCGATCGCCGTCCGAATCTCAATGTCGTTCATAACAGACTCCGTTGAAACTAAAGCATCGTTGCCAAGCGCGGCGAGCACGACCGACGCACGACCACGAGGCTAAAAACTCTGTTAGAGCTCCTACCCGAAAACTGTCTAAGTCAAGCTTACTCATCGGATTGTGATTACGAAAATCCGGTGACGTCGACGGGTGTGTCGAAGAAGCAGTTATCGCTTTGATGGCGAAGCCAATTGTATTTTAGACTATTCGCAAGGGGAGCTTGGATTCGCCGCCGCTCGTGGGTTGGGCATTCTCGGTGCCAACTTCGGGAGTGGTATCAGACTTCTTCTCGGCTTCAAGCTTCTGGGTCTGGAGCCAAGCTTGCTTGCGTAGCGCACGGCGCTTTATTCTTGCTTTTTTGGCCGCTAGCGCCAGCTCGCGCTTTTCTTTTTGTTCCCGCTCGAACATGATGCGCTCTCGATGCGCCATGTGGGTGCGCTCTTCGACAATCCGAGCGATACTCTGCTTTCGCCAATCGTAGAAGAGGAAAAGCGCGCTTCCCGCAAGAGCGATAAGCACGATGCCGATTACACCCACCAGGAATAGCAATGTGTTCATGAAATGTGCCTAAGTTGTGCAAGAGAAGAGTGACGACAAAAGCCTCAGTACTAAATGATAAGCATAATTATCAGGATGCCAATCCTTAAATGCAACCTTTGCGGCCCTAATGAACTTGTGATTGGTGAGTTCTCATGCCGTATCGGCAGCCAGTCGGCGCAGTTCTACTGCAAGATCGATCTTTTTCGGCATGAATGGGCTCATCGCTCCTGTTGAAATCAGTTCTTCGAGTTTCGATAAGAAGTCTTGTGTTTCGTCCGGACGTTCGGGAAGATCACAAAAATTGTACTGCCACCACCGCAGTGTCAGCAGGCGTTCGATGACG